GCTTCAAGAATTGATTGCAAAAATGTTTTCCTCCATCACTTATTATAGCCCTTGGCATACCAAAACGAGCAAAGGTATTGGATTTAATGAATTGAATGACCACGGAGTGGTCATTTGTTTTGGTAGCACATGCTTCCACCCGCTTGGAAACATAATCAACGGCAAGAATAATGTATTAAAAACCATAGGACATAGGAAATGGACCTATAAAATCAATGCCTCATATGTCAAAGATCTCAACAACCAATATATTGGTTAAGGGCATCATATCTCTTCTAGATATTGTCCCCATCTTTTGACATCTCTCACATGATTTGCAAAAATTGTAGGCATCTCTATGAATAGTGGGCCAAAAGAGCCCACTTTGAAGAACCTTCAAGGCGGTCTTCTTTGCACTAAAATGCCCACCACATGCAAGAGTGTGACAAAACACTAGGACATTTGGAATTTCACACTCTGGAATGCATCTCCTCACAATTTGATCCGAACAATATTGGTACAAGACAAGGTCTTCCCAATAGTAATTTCGGATGTTGGCAAAGAAATGATTCTTTTCATTCTTCGACCAAGAAGTTAGTAGATTGCCTACTGCCAAATAATTCACAATGTCGGCAAACCAAGGCATTTTTCCATTAGAAATTTGAAAGAGTTGTTCATCTGGAAAAGAGTCACAAATTGGTAGACTAGGGAAAGGTTCTATCGATAACCTAAAAAGATGATCGACAACCACATTTTTGGTGCCTTTCTTGTCCTTGATTTCAAATTTGAATTCCTGAAGAAGCAAAATCCATCTAATTAACCTAGGTTTTGTTTCACTTTTTGTCAATAGATGTCTCAAGGTGGCATGATTAGAATAAACAACAACCTTGGACCCTAAGAGATAGGAACGAAATTTATCAAGAGCATACACTACGGCAAGTAATTCTTTCTCGGTAGTGGAGTAATTCAATTAAGCTCCCGAGAAAGTTTTACTTGCATAGTAGATGGCACAAGGAAGCTTACCCACTCTTTGTCCCAAAACTACTCCCATGGCATAATCAGAAGCATCACACATAATTTTAAATGGCAATGACCAATTGGGAGGTTGCATGATAGGAGCAGATGATAATAATTCATGCAATTTATGAAAAGCGTCTAAGCATGCTTGATCAAAGACAAAAGGAGTTTCCTTAGCAAGAAGATTGCACAAGGGTCGAGTAATTTTGCTAAAGTCTTTGATAAAAATGGCGGTAAAAGCCAGCATGACCTAGAAAGGAGCGAACCTCACTCACCGTTGAAGGTGGAGGCAATTCAAAAATAAGCTTAACCTTCGCTTTATCTACCTCTATTCCTCTCCTTGAGATAACGTGACCCAAAACGATACCCTCTTGAACCATGAAATGGCTCTTTTCCCAACTAAGTACAAGGTTGGTTTCACGACTTCTCTTAAGCACTAGATCTAAATTTTTAAGGCATGCATTAAATGAAGACCCAAAAACAGAAAAATCATCCATGAAAACCTCTAGATACTCTTCCACCATATCCGAGAAAATTGACATCATACACCTTTGGAATGTGGCGGGAGCATTGCACAAACCAAAAGGCATCCGTCTATAAGCAAATGTGCCGAATAGACATATAAAGGTGGTTTTCTCTTGGTCTAATGGGTCGAGGGCTACTTGATTATACCCCGAATAGCCATCAAGGAAGTAATAATATTGTTGCCCGGCCAATCTCTCTAGAATTTGATCAATGAATGGCAAAGGGAAGTGATCCTTTCTAGTGGCGGCATTCATTATGCGGTAATCAATGCATACACGCCATGAATTGGCGGTACGCTTAGAGATTTCCTCACCCTTTGCATTCTCAAACACCGTAATCCCCGATTTTTTGGGAACTACTTGAGTTGGACTCACCCATTTGCTATCGGAGATTGGGTAAATGATTCCGGCATCTAAGAGTTTGACAACTTCCTTCTTAACTACCTCCTTCATGTTTGGATTAAGTCTCCTTTGGGCATCCCTAAAGGGTTTTGCATCATCTTCCATAAGTATGTGATGCATACAAATAGAAGGGTCAATTCCCTTAAGATCCGCCACACTGCATCATATGGCTTCCTTATTTTCTTTAAGCACACTTAAGAGAGCATCTTCTTGGTCTTTTTCAAGACTTGAAGAAATGATAACCGGAAGAGTCTCTTTTGGTCCTAAGAATGTATACTTGAGATTAGAAGGTAGAGTTTTAAGCTCAAGAGTTGGTGGAGAAACTAAAGATGAGACCGGTGGAGTGCTAGAGAGTGGAGGAAGAGGTTCTATTAGAGTTTTCCAAGATAGAAAATCTAAGCTTGCAACAGATTCCATGAGATTGCTTACTTCATTCATTGATTTTTCATCATCAAATCCATAATTTCCATACATTTCAAGAAGACAAGAAACAAGAAGATCATTGGATAAAAGAGATGAAAGACTATCCTCAATTGGTTGTTTCGTTACCATCGTTGGAATCAATTCCTCAACAACCTCATCTAACACATCAACAAGGAAACACTCATCTTTATCTATGGGATGTCGACTTGCATGGAAAACATTAAGTTTGATCATCATATTGCCAAAAGAAAGGTCCATAATCCCGAATCTATAATTAATTGTTGCATTTGCGGTGGCAAGGAATGGTCTTCCCAAGATGATTGAGATGTGGTTGGTGGGATTAGCAACCAGCTCGGTATCAAGAACTACAAAATCAACCGGTAAGTAGAATTTATCCACTTTGACAAGGATGTCCTCAACCATGCCCCTAGGTGTTTTGATGGATCTATCGGCCATTTGAAGCACCACTGAGGTTGGCTTTAACTCATTCAACCCTAATTGGACATATATGGAGTAAGGAATCAAATTAACACTTGCACTTAAGTCAAGAAGAGCTCTACGAATTTCATAGGTTCCAATTACACAAGAAATAGTCAGAGCACCGGGATCTTTGAACTTAAGTGGAGTGTTTTGTTAAAGAATGGAGCTCACTTGCTCCGTGAGGAACACTTTTTTAGGGCTTGGTCCTTGCTCTTCCTCTTTTGTGTGCAAAGATCTTTCAAGAATTTTGCATAAGGTGGAATTTGCTTAATGGCATCTAAAAGAGGAAGATTGATGTTGACTTACTTAAAAACTTCCATCATGTCATGTATTTTCCCTTCTTACCTCCCATAAGGCGAAATTTCTTTTAAAGCATAAAGGAATGGAGCTTTTGGCTCACAAGACTTGGTAATTTGAGAGGATGATGGGGAAGATTGAGAATTCTGGTTAGGAACATTTTCATTCAAGGAAGTAGGAGTGGAATTGGGAATTAGATGGGTGACAACTTTAGGTTGCACCGATTTACTATCTTCCTTTGGTAGTTCAACCCTATTGTCCACTTGCTTACCCCTTCTCAAGGTGGTGATGGCTTGCGCTTGAGCTTGGGAAGAACACCCCGATGTAGGGTTTGCTTCCACACAAAATTGGGCTTTTGGATTCCTCTCGGGTTAACTAGGTAATTTCCCAATTTTTCTTGCATTCAATACATTAGCTATGATCCCAATTTGGGATTCAAGCTTTGATATGGATTGAGAGTGGGAATGCAACAAGTTGGTATCCTTCTCTAAGCTACCCAAGGCCATCAAAACCTTATCTTCAAATGTAGAATTACTAGAAAGTGCTTGAGGATAATGAAAGCCAACTTGGGAATCATACATTTGAGGATGTGAGAGGTCATTCATTCTTTGATGATGGAAAGAAGAAGAAACAAACCTTTGAGAACCTCCATTTCTTTTATGAGGTGAAATGTATTTTCTTTGAAAATTTATAACTTGATAAGGGCTTGAGCTTTCATTCTAGAATGGAACATTTGCATTTGAATAAGGGTAAGCAAATGTAGCATTAACTTGTTCAAAGTTTTCATTAACAACATGTCCATGGGGACAATCGAAAGTAGTATGCAAAACACTTGAGCATGTCATGCAAGGCTCACAAAGATGAGTTGTATGATGAAAATGAGATGAATTGATAGCCGGTTTTTGATTCAACAAGAATTGATCAAGTTTTTTAGAAAGAGTTTTAAGCTCGGCTACAATTTCCCTTGAACTTTCAATTTGACACACTGTTACACTTTTCTCCTTTTTATTAAAACCATGATCAAGTCGAGAAGTGTAATATTTGTGTAAAGAGTTTTCACTCATTTTTTCAAAAAGGTGTCAAATGTCATCTTCATGTTTTCCAAATACGAACCTCCACATGAGGTATCAACTATGTCCTTTTGCATGTCGAATAGGCTTTCATAGAAGTATTGGACAACTTGTCATTTTGGAATACCATGATATGGACACTTTCTTAGCAAGTCATTCAATCTCTCCCAAGCCTCATGCAACAACTCTCCTTCCCTTTGAGAAAATTCTCTAATTGAAGCACACATTACATTGGTCAAACTTACGGGGTAAAATTTTTTTAAAAACTCATTTTGCATTTGTACCCAAGATGTTATTGAATTTACCCCTAAAGTATTGAACCAATGCTTTGCTTTATTTTTAAGCATGAAAAGGAAGAGAAGTAATTTAAGAACTTCCTCCGGAACATCCATGTACCTCACGGTGGAAAATAGTTCAAGAAATTCATTTAGATGCCTATATGGTTCCTCTTCATCTAAGCCATAAAAGAGTGGACACATTTGAATGGTCTCTGGCTTGATTTCATATTGATTAGCCTCAAAATTAGGCAACACAATGCAAGTAGGTTGTAACATTACCGATTTTTCTTACTTTCTAATTTCTGAATTTATTTGATTTTTCTGAATTATTTTAATCCTTGCCTCGTTTTGCTTGCCACGCGGGCCCCGAGGGGTGTTATCGGCATTTCACATGTGTATGTGTATTTATATACATGTATGTATTTGTATTAATGGTATTATATAGAGGGTGGTATTTAATGGCAAGGTTGACGATAAAAAGAAGTTCAAAGGGCATTTTCGTTATTTTAGCTCCATGGAATAGCCTAGAGAATTCTAGAGACATGAGTGTGGCTTTATTTTTTTGACCCATTCTTTTCTTCTTTCAATTTTCGGACCACACCCACCCTACAAGCTCTCTTCCTCCATTTTCTTCTTTCTCTCTCTATCTCTCTCTATCTCTCTCTTCCTTCCCTCTAAAATTTGTTCATGCTAGAGATGATTCGGTTTAGGCCATAGTTGGCAAATTGTAAAATATTGCAAGGACTACGTCTTGGTACCGGTATTGTAAGCTTTTGGTGGGATTTGAGTTTGGAGCTTGGAGCTAGAGCTTACTAAGGACTTGATTGGTTGCTATCTTGAGGTATGGGAAGTCTAACTTACAAATTCCTATGGTTTTAGTGAGTTTTTATATGCCTCCTTGCATGAAAATTTTAAGGTTATGAAGCATGTTAAGTTTGTTAAAATTTTGGTTGTAATATTGAGCATGAATTGTGATGGCTTAATTGTTGAAGAATGAGAAAATGATGGTTTCTTGTATTTGTGTCAAGCATTCTACTTTTCTATGAGAAAATATAAAAGTATGATCTATGTTATTGTGACAACCCGGATTTTTAAGAGTTGAAATTTATTTATTTCATGATTTTTAATTGTTAAGATTGACTTTTTAATTTTAGAGATTTTACCCACATAGAATTTTATTGGGTCTGATTTTCTCACAAAGCATGAATATAAATGTTATATATATATTTAGTGTTTCAATTTGAGGTAGCAGCGAGCTTCAGCAACAAATGCAAAGAAGAAAAGAAATGAGGAAGATTGAATTTGAGGGTCCCATCAGATGATAGTAATGGGTGAATTGATTGGTTGCATTACATTTGTATATACATGATTTATATATATATTTTTGGATGCATCATCAGATGGAACAAGGTACCAGCCGAGAATGGGAAAAGGAAATGAAGATGAAATTGTGATATTTTGGCGCGGGTCCCACAAGAAGAAATAGGTTTTGATTTAGTTTTCATTATATATATATATACTACAATATAATGTTTGTTGTCTGATGGATATATAAGATAAGGAGGCAAAATGGAACAGGTGGCCGAAAATGCAAGGGAAAGAAAAGGAAAATTGATGAAGTGATAAGGTGGTTGACGGGTCCCACTTAAATTGGTTTCTTACATTTTATATATGTAGATTTGTGGTATATCTCATGGTAATAAAGAAGGGACCAGCTGAATTAGTGGAAAACAAAAACAAATAATAAAGGGGATGATTTTAGCGGGCTCCACCATTTGACATTGGTGGATATTTAGACCAAATTTATTTTGCACATGGTGATTTATTTTAGAGAGAGATTGTGATTTCTTGTGTATTGAATCTGAAGAATAAAAAGTAAGATAAGGTGGTGGGACTAGTTGGACATTTTTTGTTCAAATATAACGATGTTGTCTAGACGTGTGGGGTGAGCAGTGCTGATATTTGTTAGTGTCGGTAGTGAATTTCCTTTATATACGTGTGGCTTTGGTAAGCATTTGAGAGAGAGAAAAAAAAATACATAGAGAAATAAAATGAGGAAAGACACAGACAAAGAGTGCCGAGATGAACAGAGAGTTGATGCTCAGATGATGAGGAAAATAAATATTTCTTTTACAGTGTAGGGTTCTTCATATCTTGAATGGCCTAGATGATTTTGTTTCAAATATTTTATTAACTGTTGTTTTGTTAAAATTGCAAATATATATTTTGTGAAGTTAATTTTGCATGAAACTCTTTGAAATCCTTGCTATGGTTTTTCCTACTGGGACTTCTCCCGTCTCACCCCCTTCCAGTTTCAGGTACCAAGGATGCTTGAGGATTTTCAGCTGCGGGCTAAGGTGGAAGAGTTGGTGTTGAGGAATTATTTTATTTAGAGATTTTTATGTATATTTGAGGAAATTGATTTAGTATAAAAGAAGGCATTTTTTTGTGATCCGGGTGTATTTTAGATTCGGGCTTAGGCTGAAGAGTTGGCGTTACAGGATTTATTTTATTTATTTGGAGATTTTTTTGTGTATTTGAGGAAATTTGATTGATTTTGTATCAATAAAGGATATTTTATTTCTTTTGAGATCCTGGGTGTCTTTTATAAAGTCTTTTGATTTAATGAAATCGAGGATTTTATTTAGAGAAAATTCGGGGTCATTACAGTTATCAATTTCTATGTTTGGATGTTTGATATCATAACTTAAAGGTAAAATATAACTTGTATAATGATGATTGGTTGTATGACATGCATATTCATGGCATGAGGGTGAGTTGAGAAGATGAAGGTTAATATGGAAAAGAGGGTTAGAGAATGAGATGGGGGTTTGTGTGGTAAGCCAAGGTGATGGTTAGGAAGGTGGTAGTGAGGTTGGGTTGGGAAGAAAGAAGGAGACATTGCATTTCATATTGGATGGTACAATCTGTGAAATTCTGAATTTTATAAATGTTGAAATGATTTAATCCCATGATCCCTTTTTCTTGAATCCCATTCTTTTGTTGTGGCTCACAGGATTTTTAGGAATGTGATTTAGGCTTAACTCTACTGAGCAGTTGAGCTCACTCCATCAACATTAACATTTTTCAAGGACTTGGAGATGAGCCGGTAGTTAATGTGCATCCATGGACATTGATGTAGTTAGGAAATTCACTTCCATCTTGTTTATATTAAAGTTTTATGAATATTGGCTATGGAGGCCCCAACCTTGTATTTAATCCTTGGAAATTGTATAAAATGAGACTTATGTAATTTGGTCTTTAAATGATGCATTGGAACTTGTTATCTATCCTACAAAAATTTTGTTATCAATATGTATTATTTTTGCAACATGTAGAATGATTGGATTCATTTTGTATATGGCCCTTGGAGTAATATAATTAAATTTTATTTACATTAAATCTTTTAGTGGGTTTTAAGTGACGTGTTACAATTTACGTTAACAAAGGTTGTTGTTTTTGGATTAAATGTTGAAATGTATTTAAATTACACGTGAGTGTAGTGGCGTGGGTGGTTGAATCACCAAATGTTGGTGTATTTGGGTTATCACTGGACAGTGGGAAAAGAAGTGAGAGTTTCCCAGAACCGGTCAACGTGTGGCTCCCCATGCGTCGACCGGCATCTTCACAGTATGGGTCATTGTGGCTCACGTTGCAAACCAGTCGACGTATGGACTTCCCATACGTCGACCGGTATCATGTCCCAAACCAGTCGACGTATGGCTTCCTATACGTCGACCATTATCCATTGTAACTCATGTTCGAAACCAGTCGACGTATGGCTTCCCATACGTCGGCCGGTATCTCAGCAGTGGGTATCATTACTGTTCACGTCCAAACCAGTCGACGTATGAAGCATATACGTCGACCAGTTTCTGTTTCATATGTAATTGCTATTTTAAATTCTTAAATTACACTTTGGTACCCAAGTGAGGTTACACGTAATTATTTTATGACCCAAATAAATGCAATAATTATGTTTTGACCACCGGAAGGACTATATTGCCCCGAGCCTCTTTTTATCTATTATGTGATACAATTCTATCTTGCCCTTTTTGGACTTTGATATTTAAATTTAGCGTGAAATGACCGTATTACCCTCGGACGTTTTTGGTTCGGGTAAGGAACCATTTAATGATCTGGATCCATAAGGAGCTGGGTCGTTACAAAATGGTATCAGAGCCTTAGGTTCGAAAACCTAAGAACGACGGGTAGGGTTGACCTAGAAGAGTTAGAACTGGGTTTGACGGTATTACGTGCTTACGTGGTTATTACTTTTTGGTTCAAAAACATGACTTATTGCTATGTGCTTAAATGTTGCTATGTTTAGTATATGTCTCCGTATTCATTGTTCATTAAGTTTATTAATTGTTAAATGGAAAAGCATGATCAACTGTTAATGTTAAATGTATATGTGCAGCTACTTATATGATTATATTTGTCTAAAGCATGCTTAATTTGCTACATGTTTAATTGTTAATTGTTATTGTTGATGAAAGAATGCTTAGTTGACTACCTGCTTAATTGTTAAGTGTAATTATAATTAAAAGCATGTATATGAGTTTTTATTGCATGTAATTGAGCATGATAGATATAATCCTATTTTGGGAAGTAGTTGTATGTCTAGATTCGTGTTGTGGTCGTTCATCCACTAGGGAGTGGATGTTCATGTGACTAGTTTGTTTCGTTGTTGATGAGTTTGAGGTTTCGGGACAGTGTTATATGTTGAGTTGCAAAAAGTTTTGATCCACGTAAGTGAGGGGCTTGATCACTTCTATGTTTCTGAACGTTTAGTTCCTATCGAACGAATAGTGTGAGCACCGTAGCTCGTGGATTGAGCTACTTCATGTATTCTTGTTAATCGTTTGGTTGTCATTGTAGAACCATGTTTAAAGACTACATGAAATGATGGACCCGGATAAAGTTGGACAGCAAACAGGTGAAGGGCCATCCCAACCAGAAAGGGTTTCGATGGGACAGGACCGAGGAAGAGAGGTGGATGATAATCCACAGGTACTAGAGGACGAAGTTCTGGTGGTAAGGGCTGTAGCTTCAGCCTTTCAGAAAATTGCAAGTACCATAGTTCCTCAAGTGGTACCGCAATCGGCTATTCAACCGCAGGAGACGGAGATGGAGTGGAATCTTGAATATCTGCTTCAATTTAACAAGCTCATGAAAGTAACATTTGAAGGAGGTCTAGATCCATTGGTAGCGGACGATTGGTTGGATGAAGTTGAAACGCATTTCAGGGCAATAACAGTGCCCGGTGATTGGTTGAAGATCACCTTAGCTATATACAAGTTTGTTAGTAACGCGGCAGCATGGTGGAAGACTATGACTAACGTGCATGATATTGACAGTATGAGTTGGAATACGTTCAAGAGTCTTTTCTTTGAAAAGTATTTCTTGTAAACTAAGAAACGATAATTAAGGACGCAGTTCGATAGTCTCAAGAAAGGTGATATGTCAGTAACAGAGTATGAGAATAAGTTCACTTCTCTCTCATGTTTTGCTGCGGATGTGTTAGGGGATGAGGAGGAGAAGACATGGCATTTTGTGTACGGCTTAAACCATTCTATTAGGCCGGGGTTGACACTTTTGGGGTTAAAGAATTATTCTGAAGCGGTTATGAGAGCATTAATGGTAGAAGCAGAAGCCAAGGATTGGCAAGAGAGGAGTGGTACCGTGGGTTCTCAGGAACGAGGTATGACTATGGGTACTCCTTCCAGGAGTCGGGACAGGAAGAGGCACATGGATGTTTCCTTGTTTACTCAGGAGCAGCGAACGGCAAGTGCTACTCCTATTGTTGGTGTTTCTTCGGAGCCTTCTAGGACAAGCTTAATATGTTATCATTGTAAGCAGCTAGGACACCACAAGGCGAGTGTCCTCTTGATAGACCTAGTTCTGAAGTTTGCTTTCGGTGTGGTCAGTCGGGCCACATGAAGAGGGATTGTTTATAGAGGAGATGAGATATTATTATGATTGATTCTTGTGTAACGGGGGATACCTGTGAGATTAGGCAGTTGCCTATGCACAGTTGTGCTAGATGTAACGGGGGTTACCTGTGATTTTTGTGACGGGTGTTACCTGTGACTATTGTAACGGGGGATACCTGTGAGTCGTGTCAGTTGTAACGGGGGACACTTGTGAGCCGACATGTGTTGTAACGGGGGATACCTGTGAGTTGTGTCATGTTGTAACGGGGGCTACCTATGAGTCATGTTGTGTTGCATGGTTGTCTATGAGTCGTGTTGCATGGTTGTCTGTGAGTCATGTTGCACAGTAGTTTGTCAGTCGTGTTGCATAGTTCTTGGGTAGTCATGTCACATTATCATATGTGCGTCTTGTCATGTTGTTGTCAGTGCATCATGTCATGTTGTAACGGGGGATACCTGTGAGTCCGGTATAGTAACGGGGGTTACCTGTGACTGTGTAGCGGGGGATACCTGCGAGTTCTGTAACGGGGGTTACCTGTGATTGTGTAGCGGGGGATACCTGCGAGTTTGGGGGTGACAGGAGGTATCTGCACACAGTTGCTCTGGTAACAGGGGCTACCCGTGAGTTTGGACAGGTGCCCGTACACTTTGTGCAGTGTTGGATTCATCTATGCCAGGATGGTGGACATATCCCGTAGTGTGGTTCCGGACCGGATGGTGTTGATGATGATCATGGAGTTTTGTATGAGTTTTAAGTTGTGATGATGTATCAGTTGTACCCATTATGTATTAAGGCAATGATGTAATTGTAAGACTGTATGAGTATTCCAGACAGTTTTATTGGATAATGACATATATTTTTTGAGCAGTTGAGCTCTTATGTAATGGTTTTAATGATGGATTAATGATAGAAAGGTTTTAGCTATGTTACTTTAAAGGTTATTGATGTAGTGGTTAACATTGCCTAGTTGTAACTACGAATGGAATGTTTGGAATTTCACTTGTTAAGGTTCTGCTTTGGACAGGATGGGACGCGATGTCTTAGGAGTCGTTGTCTAGCCTTAGTGTTTGGGAAGGGGCACTGTTCTCTTGAGTATATGGATGTTAAGTGTACAAGTTGCGGATCGAGTTGTTTCCTCTCTATTTAGTTCCTCTTTCTTGGCATAGCTTATGCAAGGTATCGATAGATATGTGTTCTGTTCTGTTACGGTAGAGGGACTTGATCTTCCTTCTTCTTGTGTTGGTCCTGGCCAGGACTTTCTTGTTTGTGAGTTTTTTATCTCCACATAGGAGTTGTGCGTGTCGGTGGGCGAAAGAACTTTTTAGAGCTTTCTCCTTGTTGAGGAATCCGAATGAAGGTTTATTCTGAATCGCTCAACTTATCTATATGGTTGGAGGTGAATTCCTTGGTTTTGTGGGATTCGTTCCAAGAGGTTATGATTAATGTTACGTGAGACGCGACTTGTCAACCGGTGTATACGTTTTCTTAGGGTCTTAGAATTAGTGATAGTATCTAGTAGTTATGAGGTGACTTGTGTGTTAGGGATGGTTTGACCGTGTGTCTAGAGTAGACATAAGGAGTAGTCTGTAAGTGTGTTTGAGGATTAGACCTGAAGACAAGAACGATGTTGGTGTTAAAGTCGAATCGACGATGGGAATGGCCTGGCCAACCATTTCTCTGAGTCAATCTTTCCTTAACACAATGTTGGGTCAAAGGTCAACGATCATTCATTTTAGTATGCTTAGAGACAATCAGAATACGGTGTTGTGCGTTGCATACGTGTGGTAGTATAATTCCATTTTAGAGTGAATCTTGATTGGGATTGATGGTATTCTTGTATGTATTCCGGTCACTTGTTGTGAATAGTAGCGTACTTGGTATGGGACTACGTGTCTAAGGAGTTTTAGTTGTTAGATCAGTTGATCCTTGAGCAATACTGATGGTTTGCTTTCCTGGGTACCTGATGGTACACTTGACAAGTCGGATAATTCTCTCGATTACAGTCGTGGGTGTTCAGCTATGATGTAGCTAGTGAAGACAGTAGTTATCAGAGATGGTTTTAAGAGTTTCCTTGGGATTGCGAGTTGAGCTCGAGTATTGATTCGATGAGCGATTTTGTAACTATAGTTTTGTGGGCCTTGGGGCATTTGATGCGGATGGGGTAAAGCGCTGCTAGTTGGACCTACTATGTGTGGGATCCAACAGCTTTCCTGTAAAATGTCTCGTGTGGGTAGCATTAGTGTGATTTTATGAATCGGGTTAGTTTTAATTGGGGTTAAATGTTATGGTGACTGGATTGAAGGATTCTCTTCGTGATGCATGCCTTCATGTGGGTTGACTGAAGTTGTCGTTTGTGGATTCAGTCCCGCCTAATGGTATGTTCTGGTTGGAGGGATGAAAATCCTAGTGGTTCTCAGTGGTCAGGACTTAGTGGAGTCACATAATTGGTTGCGGGCTTGTGCCTTGTGTGCATATAGGTAGCGGTGGGGAATTTTGTTCGGCACTGCAATGCCTTTTTCGTTCTGTTGGTTTTCGTGGGGGAAAGGTCACATGTGACTGCGGTTACTGATTGGTTATTATTGTGCTAGATCACTAGCACAGGGTTGCGAGTGACGTAGAATGTGAGATTCTTTAGATGGGGATTTTAAGGTATAGCGTATTGCATGGGGTACTCAGAGACGTACTCCTTTTTTTTATCCTCTCATCTTTCTCTTATGAGGTGGATTGATTTCGGGGACGAAATCTTTTGAAGTTGGGGAGATTCTAACATTACCGATTTTTCCTACTTTCTAATTTCTGAATTTATTTTATTTTTCTGGATTATTTTAATCCTTGCCTCGTTTTGCGTGTCACGCGGGCCCCGAGGGGCGTTATCGGCATTTCACATGTGTATGTGTATTTATATACATAAGGGTGGTATTTAATGGCAAGGTTGATGATAAAAAGAAGTTCAAAGGGCATTTTCGTCATTTTAGAGCCATGGAATAGCCTAGAGAATTCTAAAGACATGAGTGTGGCTTTATTTTTTTGACCCATTCTTTTCTTCTTTCAATTTCCGGACCATACCCACCCTACAAGCTCTCTTCCTCCATTTTCTTCTTTCTCTCCCTATCTCTCTCTTCCTTCTTTCTAAAATTTGTTCATGCTAGAGATGATTCAGTTTCGGCCATAGTTGGCAAATTGTAGAACATTGCAAGGACTACATCTTGGTACCGGTATTGTAAGCTTTTTTGTGGGATTTGAGTTTGGAGCTTGGAGCTAGAGCTTACTAAGGACTTGATTGGTTGTTATCTTGAGGTAGGGGAAGTCTAACTTACAAATTCATATGGTTTTAGTGAGTTTCTATATGCCTCATTGCATGAAAATTTTAAGATTATGAAACATGCTAAGTTTGTTAAAATTTTGGTTGTTGATGAGTACTGAAAAGTGCGTATTTAAACCCCTTAAGCTTAGGCATTCTAGTACCTTTATCTATCTTACTTTACCATTTCAGATTTATTTCGTATTATTTCATTTTTCAGGCACTTATCCCGAAAATAAGCTAACTCAGCCAAATAAGAGCTTAATTGAAGCAATTCTGGGATTAAACAAAGAAAGGAGCAAAGTGGAGAAAGAAGGAAGCAAATGAAGCCAAAGGTGGCAGGCAGCAAAGTTCAATCGATCCAAGTTCAAGGTTCGATCGATCGAACAATGATCAATTTCAGCACTTCAAAATAGATCCAAGCCTTGACCCAAAAGCATAAAGTTCCAAAAGTTCGATCGATCCAACACCATCCTTCAATCGATCGAACACTTTTGTCCTTATTCAAATGATTGATCATATCCACAGCTGTAACACCCATTAACCACTTTTGTCCTTTTCCCATAAATATCTCTTATATATATCTCGAATTTGTCATTTTCCAAAAAGCTCAGCCAGTTGGATTGATCTAGCCTAAGTTCGATCGATCTCACTTACTTTCGATTGATCTAAGACCAAGGTTCGATCGATCGAACTTCCTCCAGTGCGAAAAAGTTAAAATTCCATCTCATTGAAAGTTGTCCTTTATCCAATCATTAGGGAATATTGTGTGCACAACCCCAGCTCATTTTGGGTGTCATTTTGACCTACCTATATAAGGATAAGGATTGCTTTTTACAAGGGAGAGTCAACATTATTTTTTATATCATCTATTGGAGAGCAAGCTTAGAGGAGGAGGAGGCTAGAGACACCATAGGAGTTCTTCATCAACAAGAAGCAGATTTCAACCATGGAGTTAGCCCTTGAGGGTTGGAGCATCATCACCATGAGTGGCTAGACATCCTCTTGGGGCTAGAGTTAGTCCCAAGCATGCTTTCTATATCTTAATCTTGTGTATTTTTGAGGGATTAGTGTTGTAATTGAAGTTTTGACATTTTGATATATATAGATCTTGTTTATTCAATGATTTATGTGGTTTAAGGCTTCCAAGTGGTCATTTCATTCTACCATATGTCTATGTATGCTAGAATAGATGTTCATGTGCTTGTCTCTAGATTTTGTGTTATTGATGCATGTCTATGTGTATTGATGCTATAGATTTGGAGATTGTCAAAACATAGTGCTTAAAGGAATGCTCTTGTAATTCTCTTGATGGTTCATTCTTATACCTTGATGGATTATACCTCTCCCTTAGTTTATTTTCATGTTAGTAGTGTAGATGTAGTGTAGATGTAGTGTAGTTGTAGTATAGTGTTAAATGGGAGGACAATCTATGCTTGTTGATTGATGATCCAAGCTTTTGAATGCAAGTAGCATATGTCTCTATCCTTGTGTTGTATTTGGATTGTGAGCTAAATGAAAGGATTAATGACTTGCTTTGATTTATTGTGCCTTTCACATGTTGTTTAAACAATATATGCTTCATTGCTTAGATATATTGTGCCTTTCACATGATGTTTAGACAATACATGCTTAACTAGTCATCCTTGCTTGTTGAATCAACCAAACACACACACACACCAATATTGCAACACACCATTTGCCCTCATTAATCACTTGTCAATGACATAGAAATGCATTGTTTGGTGGTGATCTCTAAACCCCAAGATCTCTCTCTCCCTCTTACTTACTCTTAATTGCACTATTTTGCTATTACTTAGTTTAATTTAGTTGCTCTTTGATCAACCAACCAACCAATTGTTTGATCATTCGACCTACTAGCCCTAATTGTGATTCCACGACATTGCTCGATCCTCATAATCCCTTGGGACGATCCCTACTCACTCTTGCTACTTTAGTAGTAGTGTTGGTAGTGGTTTAAACTTGACTCGAAAGGCTTTTCTTGAACCGCACATTCACTACATCAATTTGGTGTACAAGGAACGGTTTACACACCGTCAAATTTTGGCACCGTTGTCGGGGATTTGTTGATTAGATTTGGCAACGTCGAATTTGTGGAATTGATTAGGATTAGTACTCTTTTTATCGTGTCTTTACTTTATTTTTATTTTTCTTTTTGGTTACTTATTGTGTTGTTCTTACTTAACTTGGTGCATTGTTGGAGAGGAAGCAAACAAAGGAACAATCAAGCATTCAATTCAAGCAAGCAAAGGAAGCAAAAAGATAAAAATTCTAAAATTGCTAAGCTAAGCTTTAAAATTTGGAGTTGAAGTGCTAAAGGACCTTTGTGAGATTTTCTTTACTCAATCCCTTAGTTAAATCGTCGGCCCGCGTGGAGGCTTATTTTTAATTGTCTTGCATTATTGTTGTTAAAGCATGGGAGTATGAATTAAATGTTTGTGGAAGAAGTCTAATTGCATTGTTATGAAGGCATAGTGTTTGTCATTCTTTGTGTTTGTTGTGTTTTGCATTGTGCATGCATGGGCGTCGTTCATTGAGACCAACTCTTGTCCCTCTTGATTTGTATTTTGAATCTATAGTTAGAAATCCTAGGGGAAGAGGAAGTTCAAATAGAGCCAATCTTTTAATGGATGACCATAATGATAATCATGTTGAGGACATTAGTCACATAGACCAACAAGGTATCCTTCATCCCAATTTGCACAATGAGAACATACAAGTACCATTAGGCATGCCTAGGTCATTCATTCACCAACCACCACAATAATAAGGCCAAGTTCCATAAGGAATGCCAAGACCAATGTATAATCCACAACCTCCCATCAACAATCAAGGAATTCAAAACCAAGGTGTTCATGTTGCACCTCAAGTAGCTAATCCACCTCTTGCTCTAAGAGACCATTATGTGCCTAATGAGTATAATGCACCTATATACATCTAATTGCCTCCATTTAGAGCACATCATTATAAAATTAAGCCACAAACCATTCAAATGCTTCCTAACTATCATGGACTTCCAAGTGAAGAACCTTACAAGCATTTGGATGAGTTTCTTGAAGTATGTTCCACCGTAAAATATACGGACATGCCGGAAGAGGTTTTAAGACTCAAACTTTTTCCATTCACCTTAAAAGACAAGGAAAAGTATTGGTTTAACAATCTTAGGCCTTTTTCAATCACTTCTTGGGCAGAAATGCAACAAGAGTTCTTGAAGAAGTACTATCCAGTTTCTAAGACCAATGCCATGAGAACCTCAATTCAAGAATTTTCACATGGGCATGGAGAAATGTTTCATGAGGCATGGGAACGCTTCAATGATTGCTTAGGAATTGTCCACATCATGACATGCCCAAATGGCAATTAGTTTAATACTTTTTGAGAGATTATCGGACAACTATAAGGGTATGGTTGATGCTTCCATGGGTGGCTCATACATTGATAGGCATAAGGATGACGTGTGGCGTCTCTATGAGAGTATGAGTGAAAATTCTTTTCATAGAACACTATCATCGAAGAATGGTAGAAATTCACAAGGTAGGAAGAGTGTTGGCTTACATAAAGTTGACCATTCAAATGAAATAGCCGCTGAAATGAAGTCTTTGTCTCAAAGGTTTGATCAATTTTTGATTAACCAAAACTCAGCAAACCAAGTATCTTCCTTCCCTAACCATTCTTATCGTGCATTAAATGAAACATGTATGACTTGTTCTAGTGGTCTTCATTCTACTTCTCATTGTCCTCACGGACAAGTGCAAAGTGAACCTAATGAACAAATCAATACGGCTTTTATGAACCAAAGGAACAATCCTTATGGCACTCATTATAATCCAAGTTAGAGGAATCATCTGAATTTCTCTTGGAAAAACCAAGGACAGGGCTAAAACCCTCCCCAAGGCGGTTTTCAAGGGAAGTACATTCCACCTCCACTTCAAAACCAAGGATCCCAAGGTTATAGACCCTATCAATCACAAGGGAATCAATTTGCTAATTCTCATTTTCCCAACCAATCTTATTCCCAATGTAATACTAGAAGTCCCACCTTTGAAGAGAAAGTTTTGAATGCTTTGGGCACTTTAGAGGCTAACACTCAATTGTTTCATTCTCACTCTCAATCTATTGCGAAGCTAGAAACCCAAGTAGGGCAAATAACTAGCACTCTCAATGCAAGAGAAAAGGGAAAGATGCCTATAAATGCCCCAACTAAGCAATAATATGTTGTGGAAACCCATTCCTCATCGGAAGGCCACACCATTGAACATGTTAATGCAGTGACTACCTTGCGGAGTGGTAGGATTGTGGACAATCAAGTTGGAATGTCCAATGAAGAGAGTGAACCGGTGCAACCTCAAGTTGTCACCAGTCCCGTTTCACATCCAATTCCTCCTTCATTGCATATACATGACCTTGTAAATGAAAAAGTCTTAAAAGATGTGTTTGAAAAAGAAGTTTTGAAAAATGATGTTGAAAATGTTTTGTTGAAAAATGATTTGAAAACTTTTTGTGTTGAAGAGAGTTCAAAAGAAAATTTTGAAAAAGTGTTTGAATCAAAGGTTCCATTTCCAGATGCCTTAAAAGGTTCCATTTCAAAAGACAAGCAAAAGGCAAAAACCAATGAAATCATGGAAATGTTTAGGCAAGTGAAAGTTAATCTTCCACTATTGGATGCAATCAAGCAAATTCCGGCTTATACCAAATTCTTGAAGGACTTGTGCACCCAAAAGCGGAATAACAAGAGCCAAGCACCAAGAAAAGTGGTTTTGACCGAGCAAGTAAGCTCAATTTTACAACATAACATTCTTCCAAAGTTTAAGGACCCCGGTTTACCCACTACATCATGCATTATTGGTGATCATATCATTAATCGGGCACTTCTTGACTTAGGAGCAAGTGTTAACCTTCTTCTATACTCGGTTTACGTCAAATTGGGCTTAGGTGAATTGAAACCAACGTCACTAGTTTTGCAACTTGCCGACCGATCCATTAAGAAGCCTAAGGGTATAATTGAGGATGTTTTGATAAAGATTGACAAATTCTTCTTCCCAGTTGATTTCGTTGTCATAGACATGGAACCGGTTTCCAATCCTAAAAGCAAAATTCCCGTTATCCTTGGCCGTCCTTTCTTGGCAACCGCTAATGCCAACATCAATTGTAGGACGGGGATAATGAAGATTTCATTTGCCCACATGAAAGTGAAGTTGAATATCTTTAATCCCACACCCAATTTATTTGACAAATATGAAGAAGAAGTTAATATTGTAGATGAATGTCATGATCTTCAATGCCAAGGAAATGAGCTTTTGTGTAAAACCAAAACTTCTAAAGGATCATCTTCAACCTTGCATTCTAAAAGTCTTGTTTCAAACTCTTGCTTTAAAAGGGCATGGAAACCCAAAGGTTGTAATTGCATAGACAAGGGACCAAAGATTTCTTTTGAGCTTAATCCAATAAGTTCTTCAAAGAACCATTTGTTCGGTGGAATTCAAAGCATCTATCACCCCAATAAGGAGGGGATGCATTATAAGATCTTTGATCTAGGCTAAAAGAGCCCAATGTCTTACTAGAGACATTAAAGACTAGCAAAAGCATTCGTAGGATGTCAAAACCCTATTCCTCCCCCATTTCTATCTTTCATTTCATTTCTTGCGAAGTCTAGATACTTGTTTTTGGTTCATATGCATTTCAAGGAACTTTGGTGAGGATTGCATAAGATTTCATGCCATTATTAAGCATTCTGCATAGTTCGATCGATCTCAAACCTGAGTTCGATCAATCGAACTCCATTCTGCATCTAACACTTAGAAAAAATTTCGACCTGTAGAAACCTGCATCCAAATCACCTCTCTGTCCCATCGTTCGAACTAACTCTTAGATCAATCAAGAGACCTTCGATCGATACAACTTCCAAGTTCGATCGATCTCATGACTCAACACTTAGAAAAATTTTGAGCCTGCATCCACCTGTATATTTCAGCTCTCTGTCTGATCGTTCGAAACATTCCAAGATCGATCTGAAAGTCCTTTGATTGATCCAACTTCCCAGTTCAATCAATCTCATGTTCCAACACTTAGCCAATTTTCTGAGCCAAAAACCTGCATATTTTTGCT